TGCAGTGTCATTTCCCCTAGACCACCGGGGGCTCCCACATTTGTATATAGAAGTCATTAAATAAGAGATTAATTTCTTTCCTTTGGGCTCAGTGCAGCTCTTTGTGTGAGTGATCTACATAAAGACTTTTCATATCAATCATGATTGCAAGACTGGACTCTTGTCTTCCTATTTTGGAGATAATTTAAGGCCTGTTCAGCAGTAGCTACTTGTGGCATGGAGTGGAATACCCATACTGTGCCAACCAGTCACTTTCATACAGCTTATTACTCATCCCACTCCCATGAAAACCAAAGGGCCATCCTGTTTTTCCTCTCCATCACTATTCCTGCAAAACAACAAATGTCAGAACATCTTGTGGAATATGAATTAATGGGGCAATTACATTCAATTACTTTTTCTTTTTTTTTTTCTTTTCTTACTAAGGAAGCAGAGTTTGCTACTGTTCCAGTGATTGGGTAGTTTTGTTAGTTGTAATAAATGTTTTGAACTTTCACATCTAATTAACAAGGGGTTTCTTTACTCAGTATTTATCACTGGAAAGATCTGTAGTTTAAAATATAATTTGTAAGGATTTGCCAGTTATTTTGCAATTTTAAGTCTGATTTCTTTTATCTTCCATCTGATTCATCTGCATGGATTGCCTTTTTATAGGCCGTTCACTATGTTGAGAGAAATGTTCAGGAAAGATATGGTATCTGAGAATTAGAGTGATCCTGCATTTTCCCAGGGATTTCTGGGACTAAATTTCTTCTGCCAGTAGCAATTTAGTTATAAGAATTCTCCATGCAAGTCCATCTTTATGAAAGTACATTGTGTTTTGATTATTTAGAACCTGAAGTCACAAAGGACATGTTGTAATTCGGTAGGAATTGAAAATGTATTGTAGTAGTCAAAATCCCCAGGGGAAGGTTTCTAATAAAATCTCCATTGAATTTATTCATATGTGGAAATACAGTCAATATTTGAGATATGAAATGTCAGTAAAAATAAAAAAGTATTAGCATTCAGTGTATGTTACAAACTGGCAAAGCCTTACCAGTTTGAATATTTTTTTCACAAAGCTTTGTTTCACAAAGCTTCTATGTGCTTTTAAGAGTATAATCTCTCAAGGAAAATGCAATTATTCTGTTAGAGCTCCCTAGTCCTGAAAATGGGCAGTATAATTTTTTTTTTTTAAACTACCTTATGGAAGTGAAAGGAAAAATATCCATAATGCTTCTCATTACTGTGAATGCAAATGAGAGAATAATTTTCTATCACTCAGTCATGGGGATTCACTGGTCTCCTAATGAGCAGACTACTCAGCTGTCTGCTTGCTATTTTAATGTCTCCACTGGCTTGGATAAAAGACAGCAACATAAAAAAGTATTAAGGCAGAGAAAATATGGCAGAATGTTCCATTAACATGATGTCCTCTTAATAAACTTCTAACTTATGCATGGATTCAAGAAATACCTACCAGTCCTGAGTTCACTGCCAAATCCTAAATCAGTGGCAAAGGTGGAAGTTTTTATTTTCCAGTCAAGTCTTCAGGGATGATCCCATCTGCTTCCATAGCCCCAAACAGATCACCCATAGTAATTCAAAACAAAAATGTCCCACGACGGAATAATTTTCCCTTGGGACTTCAGTGTTAGAAAGCACATGGCATAGGATCCAGTTTCATGTCTATTCTCTGGTAAGGAAGCATTGCCTGGAAGCCATCCAAGTCTCCGGGTCTTTTCTATCTCTGATCCGCCATCAGCATGAACATGTTCCTTCTAGCCTCTTGCTCTAAAACTCTTAAGGCTGCATTGATTGAATTCCATAGTTGGCTTGGACTCTCTTCAGTCTGTTGTTTCCCTCCTGTTTGGTGTAGATTCCTTTGTATTCCCATTACACCACAATTTCAAAAAATCAGTGAGCAACATTTCAATCCTGAGAGTTGTCGATGTATTTACGGCACTAGAAACATGAGTTTCTTGGTAATGAAAAAAAAGAGAAAATGCTTATTTTCCAGTACAAAATTCCTACTTATAAATTTATGGTGCACTTTTCGTCAATATTATCTAACACTATCTTTAAATATCTCATTTGTTTTCTATATTGTCTGTGAAAAAGCCTAAGTTAGTTTAAGTAAATTCCATGTTTATTCATGGAATAAAGGGAAACATGGGAAGCATAGCAAATTATTTGCCCATAAATTAAATTACCGCTGTGAGACGCACATGAGGAGTTTTGAATGCTTAGAAAAGCAGATGTTTAACTCCCAACAGCTACTCTGTAGCCATGTTCTGTCACCTTTCTGCCTTTCTCTCACCAGCACCTATGAGACTAAAATGAACTGAAAACTTTTGCTAACCTTCAGATGCAAGTTACTTCACATGGAGTACTGAGATCATTAAGTGTTTTGGCAGCTCTCCAGAGTCCCTTTCTTTCTCTGTTACATGAGTTTATTTAACAATTAAGAGAACTTTTTCTTTTTTTTTTTTTTAAATACAAGGAGTTTTTGCATGACTGTCTATCATGCTCAAGATCCATCATGTTGCCTGTTTCTCATCTAGAGACCATTTGGGGGTGAATAAAGGTAAATGTTGTTTGGTTACACTACTGTTTGTCTATGCCTTCCACAGTTCAAAAAACTTTCACTCAAACACACACAGAGGCACACGCACACATGGTCCAAACATCGTCATTATTGTTTGTGTTGCTTTATTCATCCTTCAGGTCTCCTGTAATGGCTGGAGGACTGTTTGCTGTTAATCGGAAGTGGTTCTGGGAGCTGGGAGGCTATGATCCAGGATTAGAAATATGGGGAGGAGAGCAGTATGAAATCTCGTTTAAGGTAAGTCATCAAGTCACCTTGCAGAATACTTCCTTTCTGATGTTATCATGATGCTTTTATTCATACTGGCTTTGTCTTTTAACTAAAATTAATTTAACACAATGCTTTTTTTTTTTTGTTAGAAACTCCCAATAGTTTCACAAAGAATTATGCCATAAATACATGCTCCAGAAGCCACACAAAAATCACATTGAGAGCAGTTTCCTCCAAAAATATGGTAGCTTGCCACCCTCAAAATCCTACCTTGTTCCTTTCATCAAGTCTTCTCCACTTACCTTCTCTCAGGTGCTGTGTTTACTTTACACTCAAGCATTGAGCATAAATAAACCAACAGAGAAGTATTACAGGCAAAAAAAGAAAAGGGCATAATTTTCTGCCCGAATCAACAAGTTTGATCCTATCCTGGGGATAGCATCCCATGGAGTCAGCTCAGGGAAATGTGTGGAAATGGAAAGAGAAAGTCAATAGGAAGAAAGACCCCTTTCAGTAGCAGAGGATCACTAGAGCAGCTCAGCTGCTATGAGCTGGCCAGCTGTTCAAAAGCATTTTTTTTTTTTTTATTGCATTGAAATTATTATAATGACATATGGGGAGTTTTCAAGTGCTCAGGTCAAGTACAACCAGCCATGTCCTCTCTTATCCTCTCTTAGACGGGTATTCAAATCAGTTACATCTCGAAAGTCTTGTTAATTTCTGCAGGTAAAACAGGCATTTGTATTAGTTTCATGAGGACTAACATGTCTAATTTTGAAAACTGAGTTTATTTTGTTCCAGTATACCCAAAGACACAAGAACTTTACCTCCTAGTCTCAACATGCAAAGTTTTTCAATGACTTGATAGAATTTCATGACATAGATGAAT